GGAAAGAGTACATAATACTACTGAAATAAGATGCTGTCAGTGGTGGGTAGGGAAAAAGCAATAGGCTCCAGTTATATGAAATCTAGTGAAGTCCTGGAACAGTTTCCCTGTAGGAGCTGTGGAATTCAGTCTGGATTTTCTACAGGTGAGTCCCCCTCACTGTGGTAGAAAAAATTACATTTTCTGGGGCAGCAGCCTGGGACTTCAGAAGCACCAATCTGCTGCTTTTGCTGCTTTCCAGCTAGATTTTTCTGTGCTATGGATTGCTCTGGATTCTTAGCACTTGTTTCGTCACTTGTTAATTTTTTTAATGAAATAAAAGTGTTATTTGCCTTTTCCAAAACATTTTTGTCAAACAAATCCACTTGAATTATTTTGTTTAGGTTAGGGGTTTGACTGATAGAAATAATAGGAGAGATGGATTTTTGGAGAGCACTTAACTTTTTGCCACACTTGCCAGCTTGGAAGAGTTAGCATTAGTGTGCGGTAAGCAATGAGTATCTTACTGATCTCAAAGCTGATGTGATTAACTGTGAATACGCTATTTAGTAAGGACAGTCCCAGTGTTGCTTTGCAGACTGGTTCCAGTACTAAGCTGTCCAGAACTAACAGGGCAGTTGCTAAAAGGTACAAATTTCATAAAACTGCAAAATGGTCAGTAATGATGGGGACAAAAGTATGAAGGGCAGTAAGAGATTGCTTGGTAACCTGCCTGTATTCAAACAAAGCATGGCTTTTAGTTCATCAAGATGCAATATCATGTCTCTAGAAACAAAATGTGGTACAAACATACCTACTGAGTGTGCTGGAAAGTGTTGGCACTGACTGGAATTTGGAGATCTCAGTAGATGAGCCACTGCACAAGCAACGTACAGTGTATGTAATGCTGTGATAAAAAGGGATATGCTACCTTCTGTGTAGAAGAAAAGTAGTAGTAAGTTAGGGGAGAAACAATTTCCTAGCTGCAAACTGACATTACAACATGGTCTTTTACTGCATGTACTTTTAAAGGGTGGAAAGAAATTGAAGAAGGTTCAGGGAATAAAAAAAAAGGTATAATGATTTTTTGGATGGAGAAGATGCCTGAGAACGAAAACTCAGTTTTCATAGTTAATCAAAAGGATGAAATACAAAATTGTTGCAGCTATCTTGGTATGCATGTATGCATGTAGCAGTATGCATGGTAGCTTTGTGTCACTCATCCTCAGTAGACACTTGTGACTGCAATTTCCATGTTTGTATGACACAACCCTGTGGAACATGCTTCATTCAAATGGCTCTGATTTTTCTACTCTAGCTGAATGTTCATCCCATTTTGTGGGATGTTTTGAGATAAGGAGAAGTTCTCTCTCATCCACCTTCATACATGTAATTATTTTACAAGTTTTTATGTCCCTCTTCTGTGCTTCTCACAGTGAATAGTACCAGTCATTTCTCTTCAAGTGGGAGGTTTCCCAGGTCCTTAATCATTTATTTAAAACCAGGTCTGCACAGAGTACTACAGATGCATCCACATAATACAATTATCTATTATAATTTTTCCACCTTATCCTTTCTGCCATCCAACATACATCCTAGCGTTTTGCTCATTTGTTTGGCCCAAGCTGTATGTTGAGCAAGGGCCACAGTGACACACCAAATACTCGGTTTGCTGGATGCAGCTGTTTCATACAAGGATTAAATAACTTTCTAATCTACACGATGATAGCTTTCAGCTGCCACACAAGCTGGAGAGCATATTATCCAGTCACACAGATGCCTCATGTGGCTGACTCTAGTGGTCCATAAGCTTTACTTGCATGTGTTGCTGTTGAAGTAAAGCAAATCAGTAAATCTCTGCAGGTCTGTGACCTGAGTGATAACCATATCTTCCTACCAAGGAGCAGAACATGCTGTTTCTGTCAGTGAAACCCTCTGGCCTGAGAAACCTCTTTTTTGGAGCATTCAATCCAAAAGCCACAGCTTTACCAGGGCAAGCACCATGTTTGACAAGATTGCAGCAGATCTGCAGCGAGTCTGGACAAAAAAAGAAGTTCCCCATAACAAAGTCTTTGCAAGAAATGCTTGGAAAACAGCAGTCCAGGAAAGGCTGACCTTCTGGAGAATGATGTCACCCACCTTGCAGTCTACTTCCTACTAGGGAAAAAGGAGGCTTAGGATTATTGAATGCACATGGCAATGAGATGTGGGGAAAGCCAAGAATCTATTAAAGTCTTTAATTGGAATATATTTTCAAAATTTAGATTGAACCTCATCCAGATTCTCATTATTAAAAACCTGTGGTTCAAGTTCTTGATTTTAACAGGGAATAGAACAAAAAGAAAAAAAAAAAAAAGAAAAGAAAGAAGAGAAAAGGGAAAAAGAAAATAAGATTTCCAGTAACTGGATTGTGTCACTTTTCAAGAGTAAAACAGGCCATTGCTGGCTCCTGTGTGATATACAGTTTCCCACAGCATATTGTGAAGAGTACGTTGCTATCAGTGACTGTTAGGTTT